TCGTCATTTGGTAAAATTTCGAAGTTCGATGTTAATTAATATATCAAATTTAAAATAACGTAACAGTGCGCGATAACGAAATCAAATAATTCTACGTGTTAATTATTATATAACATTTTATTTATTGCTCAAAAAAATAGCAGAAAATCTTTGAACTCCTACTCTTCTTTGGCCAAAAAATCGTCGAGTGCAAAGGGTTAAAATGTACAATTTCTCTGTGCGATGTAATAAAAAATTATTCGCAGAGAACATTTTTATAAAATCTAAAATTTGAAACGGAATTAAAAGAAAATATCATGAAGCGAGTAAATCCGAAAAAATATCTTCTTTTTAAAACTTTTATTTTAAACCGGGTGAAGTTTTATTCAAAATTAGCTCATTCAATTTTTCGAATAATTCCATAATTCCTTTCACGTGTAAAATTTTACAAACGATATTCAATATTGTTTGCCAACTAGCATTATTAAATACGATGCCATGTGTCAATTTTCAAAATTATTTCTACCGATATGACAGCGAAATACCATTTCGCTGTCCGTGTTATTACCAGGCAAAGCGGACATGTTATATAAATCCATTTTGGAAATTATTTCCGCATACGAAATGAGGCAATCCCATTTGAACAACGAGGCCATTGTAATAGAGAATACAGGTTATATAAAATAACTTGCGAAATTATTTCCTGGTATCCTACAATCCAATTTTATCTCTTGCGTAACCCACGCGAACATTTAATATCGAATAACATCTCAATCGAAAGTTCGGGGAATATAATTAACGCGATGTTAATACGCGGAGAAAATAGGCACACGTATATTTCCGAAGAACGATATTCATTCGGATGATTCATTGGATTTTCATGTAATACCCAATGCTCTTTCGAGCAGGAAATCGAGCCGTTCCGTCCGCGAATTCGATATTAGTCGACGAGAAATCGATATTCGAGAAACCATTTACCGAGATTTCTCGCAAATTTTCTCTAAGAAGTTTCCCAGGAAATTGAAAATCCTGCCTGCGCAGGGTTCAAAATGTTGCGAGATCACGTGGAACAGAATTGATCATTTTCTAACCGAATGAAGAAGGAAATGACACACGATAGGGCGAAAAATTAGATAACAATCGACATTTTCACTGAAATTCCATGGAGAAATAGAATAAACCGGCAGAAAGATGTCAATTTTGCTTCCACTAAATTATCCAGTTGATGGAAAGGCTTTTAGTTATATTTTATTCGGACACATTCTATAAATTTTGGGGTATTCGAGATGTATAATAAATTCTCGTGATAAAATGGGACAGATAATAGATATATTAAAAAATATGAGGTAATTACTTAAAATATTGCCCGAACTTTCTTCCGAGAAGAAAGTTTGAATATCGAGGAACAAAGTTTTAAGGCAGTGAAAGAGTATCTTGTGAACGGAAACGGGAAGTTGCGCAGGCACGCAATAAATAAATTTTCAGATCGATGGGAGGAAGTGAATAACGATGGATATTCTATTGAAGACTAATTAATAGAAGTTTCGATAAAGAACTTTTCGATCAACCTAGCGTAATCTCGGACAAAGTTTCCGATCTTTCGCGAAACTATCTTTCAAACACGAAATCCTTATAAAAAGTTTGCGAAAGACATCTACGTCCCACGGTGGATGGCATAGTTAATAACTCAGGTAAATATAACTTTCAAGAATACAACGATAAACACTTTATTATACACGGTATAGAACTTTCAGTGCAATCTCGTGGAAGAATCTCTTGATTAATCGATACTTCCGGTTGGCAAAGACTGAGCAGTCTTTCTCTTCCCTTTGAACTTCTCGGCGAAATCTACACCGTGTTCCCAGCTTTAGAAACTTTGCAACAAATATGGCCATGTGGTGAAACTAGCTTCTCGAAGCGTGATAAACGAAAATTATTAATTTCGGCCACTTTTCTGAAATGCACCCTTATAAAACTTTCCCTGTTTAATTATTTTATACTTGAACATATGTTTCCTTATTTAGTGACGTGGATAACCAGACAGAAGTTGAAAAATTTGCTTAAACAACATACACTCTGAATACAAATTGTGGCAAATGTAATAAAAATATAATAATCCATTACTACTTGTATTACAATGCATACATACTACTACTTACTAGTCAATTACTACTTGCATTACAATCTATCCATACTACATACAATCCATACTACTTGTATTCACAAACATTAGAAACGAACGAAACAAAAATCTTCGAATATTTAACTTCAAACGATGGAAGTAATATGTAAAAATGTTCATTGAGAGACATAAACATTATTTTTGAACCATTTTACACTCTGTCAGATAATGAGAACTTGAACATCTGGTTTAGGATATGAACATTTGATTAGCACATGAACAAACTTGTATTCACAAATATTAGAAAGGGAAGAGTGAAAAATCTTTGAGTATTTAACTTCGAATGACTGGAGAAATATGTAAAAATGTTCATTGAATGAAATAAACATTATTTTTGAACCATTTTACACTCTATCAGATAATGAGAATTTAAACACTTGATTTAGGACATGAATATTTAACTTGCATTTAAACAAACTAGTATTCACAAATATTAGAAACGAACGAGTAAAAGATCATCGAGTATTTAACTTCAAACGATGGGATTAATATATAAAAATGCTCATTGAATGACATAAATATTATTTTTGAACTATTTTACACTCTGTCAGATAATGAGAACATGAACATTTGGTTTAGGATATGAATATTTAATTAGCACTTGAACCAACTTGTACTTACAAATATTAGAAACGAAGGAGTCAAAAATTTTCGAGTATTTAACTTAAAACGACTGGAGTAATACGTAAAAGTGTTCATCGAATGACAAAAATATTATTGTTAAAACATTTTACACTCGTCACATAATGAGAACTTGAACATTTGGTTTGGGATATGAACATTTGGTTAGCACTTGGACAAACTTGCATTCACGAGCATTAGAAGCAAACAAGTAAAAGATCATCGAGTATTTAATTTAAAACGATGGGATTAATATATAAAAATATTCATTGAATGATATAAATATTATTCTTAAACCATTAGTCACTCTGTCATATAACGAGAACTTGAACATTTGGTTTGGGATATGAACATTTGATTAGTAGTTGAACATTTCATATGGGAAAGGCCTTCAGGGCCAAGAGAAAATGATATGAAATACTTCAGAGCTAACTTAAAATCAGCGAGCTAGCTTAATCGTCAGTCACGATTCGTCTCTCCCCTCTCTCTTACTCTCTGTAGCTCATTTATCAGCTGACAGCCCGAATCTTGCAGAGAGCAGATGCTTTCGCGTCGTTAGCGACGGGACCGTAAGTCCTTCCACCATCGACAATCAGTTCTGTGTTCCTTGGCACGAGGACACAGCGGAGGTCTCTCGAAACCAGTCCAGGTCATCGTCATCCTCGCCAATCGTCGGTTTCCACGCACGTTTCCTACGCAACCCTGTGCCAAACCAGTCCAACTGGAACTCTCAGATCCGAAGGATCCTCGATACCCTCGAATATCTCACCCATCCACACCTCCGGATTTATCATCTTGGCCGACACAGAGGCCGAGACGGGATCTGATCAGGATCCAAGAGCTGCGCAGCTGAAAGGCTTTAACTATCAGACGAAGAAGGGGAAGAAATAGAAGACCGGGCCAGCCGAGCTGAAAGCTGAGCCGTTCAATTAGTCCAGAAGCTCGATAGCAAAGAGGAACAGCGATTAATGAGTGACCGGCGTGAAAGGATGCGGCTGGGAATCGATATCATCCTAGCATGCGGCGCCTGATCGCTCCTACTAGCTCAGGTCCTCGCGTTCCACCTGGTACACCGCGCTTTCACGTCGAGGAAGGAGGATAATAGCAGGCGTGGGTAACGTTAGAGATGTATTCGGTGCCTAACGACGTATTGAGGGCCTCTTCGATGAATCCCGACGGTGTTTGTGCGATGGAAGAACGGTAGTAGGGTCCAGGTAGTCCCGTCTTCGCGTTGTGATGTGTGTTCCCAGAGAGTAGAACAGATCTCGTAATCGGGTTAATGATACGGTGTGCAATCGGTGTTCTAGTTGATGTGTGAGAGTTCAAAAGTTTTCTAACATCCTATAAATCACTGTCCGTGAACAGCCATTAGAAGAGTACTCAGTGCTTCGTGTGGAAATCTAAGGAGATCGTTCCATTGAAGTTTAAGCTTCCTGCGGGCTAATGTTCCTCTACGAAGTTAGATACAAGGTAGCTAAGTCGTTTCGACGTCGATCCCGACTTTGATTCTGGACGAGTCAGTCTCTCGGCACGTGGCAGAAATTGAAATCGGGGTATTGAAGGAACGAGGAACAAGGTGTCTTAGAAACTAGCATTTTCATCGATATCCCAAGAAGAATCATTCAAATTTTGTACGTGATTTGAGAACAAAGGCCTATAGTTCAAACTTCATCTCCATCGCTTCATACTTCGAGTTCTCGTCTTAAGCATTTGATAAAAACCGGATACCCTAAGAGCTTTCTCAAGGATCATTAAGGAAACCGCTGTAATTTGGTACCGGCTGCAGATTAGTACTTCCGTGGGAGCTTGAAAACGATTCTATTAACTCGACGATAGCCTCCAAGGATCTTCGAAGGAGCCAGGTAATTCTTACCGCATGTTTGAATTATACACAATAACACTTACGCTTTATCAGCCCTAATCTACAGCTTTAAGAACTGTCCCAAGTCACTCTGGACACTTCAGCTGTGACGAATCCTGAACATCTTTGAAATTGTCGATCTGAAAGTACGTAAGGAACTAGCTACGAGAGCCTAAACTACGAATCATTCAGAAAATCCGTTTGCTACCTGTGACAGAGAGTTGTAGGGGACCTAACAACAGTCAGGTCCATCTATGAAGATTCCAGATGAGCCAAGAATTTGATTCGCTTTCGAACTACTAGCTAAAACTCTTCTGGTCATTACCAGGCCAGAGATCTTCACCATTGAGTCTCTAGATGGCAAGAAATGGTCAAGTCTAATTTCATGGAACCGCTGAAACAGTTGGGATTACCGAGACTGGGCGAAGACTATAGCACCTGAGGCTGAAATTTGATCCAACTCATCCTGATCGTCACGAACCAAGGGATTCCCTTATCTAGAGACCTGGAAGACGCAACGATAGCTAGGTCTACTCTCGTAGAGCCTAGAGGAACGGAGGAATCGATCTAGTCTTCTGGATCAGACCCAGCCTCAGTCGAAGAAGCGATGTAGCCCGTTGGAAACGGGTCGAAAGGTGGTTGCATATAAGGCGAGCTGGTGCAAAGAGTCCTACGAGAGCCAGGTACAGCCGGCCCTGGATGTTTTGACGCTGAGTGGCGCTAGGGTGCCGAGGTGGGGGGCGCGTGGTCTTGCTGCCTGCCGTGCGCCAGTGGCGGCGGGGGTGGGGGTGGTGCAGCTGTCTCGGGGGCCACCCCCGAGGCCAAGAAGGGCTCCACCGGCCACAAGTGCCAGCAGCAACAGCAGGCGAGCCAGCAGCCGCAACAGCAGCATCAGCAGAAGCAACAGGAGAAGGATCAGCAGCAACAACAGAAGAAAATAGTGGCGGTCGTGCAGACCAACGAATTGGCACCTTTGAGCAAACTGGACGAGGACCTGGACGACCTTGAGGACGAGAAGGGGCCCGAGCAGAGGGCCGAGGAGGAGGACTTCGCCAAGGAGGGTGGCACCCAGCACCGCTTGAGCCCCAGGCTGCACGACATCGAGGAAGAGGACGATGAAGACGGCCGAAACACCAAGGAAAGGTCAGTGCACTGACTTCTCAGGTTTCTTACGTCTGGGAGCGTTTCATTTCACAGTCGGACTTGTGCTCTATGCCATTTTCAAATTTCGCGCCGAATCACTGTTTCAATCTTTCCATTTTGTTTCAAATACTTCAGAGAAGAAAATTTCTTTACGACCCAGAAACCATAATTGGAAACTTTTCTTAACTCTAGATAGTTCTAGAATTCTTTTAACAAGAATTTTCAATTTCAGAAGATCAAATTCATTTCACTGTTAATATAGAGATTAATCTCTTCAGGGACGAATTATTTTTCAGTTAACGTTACAATAATTTTCAAACAGTGATTATTTTCTTTATTATCGAGGAATTCCATGATAAATTGTTCTCCAACTGATTCTAATTTTCCCTTCACCTATAATAATCGTAATTAAATAAATTAAACGTATATATATGTCAGTATCCCTGAAGAGGTTAATAAAATTAACGATACAGGGGACAGAGTCAATGAGTGTAGGACAAGCTATGGGCATAAGTCTGCAATTAAATTCGTTATCGTTTTGTGACTTCGAGTACTAATTACTCTCGCTGCTTCCAGATATCGCAGTTACTTAATGTACTTGAAACCCGGACGGAGAGTTGTGTTAATTATAGTAACTATTTTGAAACCTGTTGCTCGCAAAGTGTCAATTTTTAGCAACTATAGTTAAGTGCATGCCACAGTTGACTTTGACGTGATTATTGGTAACGAAATTTCAACCCTGGGGGGGAGGGGGGGAAGAGAAATTGCAATCGTTCTCGCTGGAAATTCAAGACATCTGTTGCTGCGATAACTGTCTTTAGGTGGACGAACTTTCCCTTTTGGGTCATACGTGTCTGAGAGCTCGTCTCCTTTTCAAGGCTGCCTTTCAAACTCCCCTATTCTCCATCGACCCGACGCGAAAGAATGGTAACTCTACCTTGAGTTTCCCACTTTTCCTGTCTACACAACTTTTCCGTGCATTCTGCCAGTCACAATAAAGATTAGGATAAATTCGAGAATTAGATCCAGGTCAGTGTGTAAAACACGCGGGGAAGTCGATTGGGAGGATTGATTTGTTTATCGGGGATACGAGTTCCATTATAGGAATTCCATTTCCTTTTTATCCAGTTTCAGCCCGCTAGAAAAACAACAGCGAAATCAGTGAAATTGGTTCCCTTCGTTTTCCAGCGAATATCTATTATTGTCTAGCTGCCTGTTGTCAATTTTTCGTCGTCTCCTACTGGCCAAGGGTTCGATATATCGGGCAGATCGACGCACGTAAAGCTTTAACGATCTGTCAACCCCCGTCGGCCCAATTGAGACTCACGGCGACAGAGGCAATTCAATCTGCTTGGAATCGTGACCCCATCGGGTCTGGGATCACGATATAGGAGTCTTTATGTAATCGTCGTTCAGCCGGTTCCCTTCAGACTGCCTGAAATCTCTCCTATGGCTTAAAACGCAATTCAGACAATTTGCTCACACCTTTTCGCCTTCAGCCTTGGGAAATAATGGCATTGTGTACCTTCCAGACGTCGTTACGTAACGTGAGGATTGTCAAGGAAGATTGCTCCTAGTCTAGGTTTCAGCATGAACCTAAAGACAGCTATAGTATGAAATTCTTGAAAAGAAGATGAAGAAAAGAATTGAAATTTAAATTCTAGAATGCTTGTTCAACTCTCTGTTGAATATTATATATTTGGAATTTGAGAGGGATTTGACAAGTGCTATCTGAAGATTCTAGGTTATGTGAGACCAATTTAAGTTTCAGGATAACGAGGGATAAACGTGGTTACAAATTTCAGGGGATACGTCAATTTTATATCGAATATTATCAAAGTTGCATTAGGAAAAGGGATTTTAAAAATATCGTGCTAGAACACTTAGGAGCTTCGTCATTAATTCAGATCTGAGCTAGTCTAAAATAGCTGTAGCTTAAATTTGATGAAGTCTGTTCAGTTGTAGAGTTAGTATTCTAAAATTAGTGTAAAAGGAGATACAATTCTACTGTCATCTTACAAAATATGGTTCATATTGACTTAGGACCCTGCTGAGACTATAGTTTAACTTCAAAACGTGTCCAAAGGTATGATACAGGATAAGCAGTAGGAAGGATGTTTGTACAATTCCTGTCCTACAAAAGGAGATTGTATCGTGTTATTTTAGGACCCAGATTAACGTAGTGTAACTGTGACATAAATTTCGAGGTATCTTTTCAGTTCCTCAATGAATGCAACAGAGTTATTACCGAACAAAGAGATTCCATGACTGTAGTCCAACGAAACTGGGTTCTATCTTATCGATATAGCGCACAGATTAAATTAAAGTAGCTGTATTTCAAATCATGAAAGGGACAATTCAGTTCCCAAATGTCGCACGACTCGAAGGGATTTAAATAAATATGGGTCTGTTCAAGATCCAGATCAGTTTGCATAACTCAAGCCCATTGTCGCACCAAATACCGTTGAACCGAATAAGTAGCCTTCGATAAATATTCTCCCACGGAAACTAAATTCTGAGATCAGCTTTCGTGGGTTAGCTCCAGCCTGGAACCGAATATTATCCGAATAGCTCTCAAGTGAGGGGCACAGACTTTCTGACCCAGAGAAGAAAAGTCGACGAGTGGTTCTTTGTAAAACAGGATTTACTGGAGAATGTGGGTAAGCCTAACGTGACCATATCTCTGCCTTCCAAGTATCTGTTCAGTTTCACACTAGATGGATAACGCGTAACCTTCCCTTTAGGCTGCCCTCATCCTACACCCCTATTCTTCTTATACTAGTACACCCTTTCTGAAACTGCCTCTCCTTCGTTGTTTCCTTACTCTGGGGGCAACAAACTGGCTAAGGGAGCAGGTCGAAAATGAAGGAGAAAATGGAGCGTGTGGAATTATGGGAGGACGGGGGCCAGGTACGGGAACTGGGGGAGGAATGATAGATAGGTGCCGTCCCCTTGAATTAGAGATCAGAGCTCGGGAAAACGGAGAAATTGGACGACTCCGAGTGATACTTTCAGCTCGACTTTAGTGATCCTGAAAGAAATCACAATTTTTTCTCATTTTTTCTTGCTAGTCCTTCGACATTTCGACCGGGCAAGTTTGAAATATCGATTAGAAGCATGAAATTCGTCCGAGGATTCCCGAAATTGCGCGTGTGTCCGTGAGCCATTGAATCGCGTATTCGATGAATTATTTAGTGGCGGAGCTTGGGCCGAGTCCACGAGATTAATCTTTCAAGGGGAGAAAAGGATTTCCGAATTTGAAGGACGGTTTATTTATAGAGGGGGCGAGAATCTGTTTTCCTTTGGTCGCAGATGGTTTTTCCCTCTGAAACTCGCTGTTCTTTGATAAGAATATATCTTTAGGGTCCCGGGTGTCTCATTTTACTTTTATGCTGTTTCAACAACATCATTTGTCATCGAATCTCTTATAAAGACGTTTCAGACGTCCTTCTTCCGAATGAAGAATTCAGAAAACAGTATCGACATTTTAATGTAGCGATGACATGGAATATTAAAGAAAATGGATAGTAATTGATTTGATTAAAAAATAGGTTTTGCAATTACTATAAATTAACAATGCAATATTTGTATAGTTGTATAATTATATAATTATACTACTACATATATATACTACTATACAATAATTGTATAATTGTATGAATCGCACGATAATTTGTGCAAATCAGTTTTCCACGTGATTGAATTCCTTTTAGCGTATATCAAATTTTAAAAACAATTTAATTCTGTACTAAGTCCGTATTAACGTAACGTACTGATATAGGAATGACATACAATACTAATGAAAATGGATAGTAATTAATTTGATTGAAAAATAGGTTTTGCAATGACTATAACTTAACAATGCAATATTTGTATAGTTGTATAGTTGTATAATTATATAAATGTATTATTACATAAATATACTACTATACAATAATTATATAATTGTGTAAATCACACGATAATTTATGCAAATCAGCTTTCCACACTATTGGATTCCTTTTTGGCGTATATCACATTTTTGAAACAACTTGATTGTATACTAATTCCGTATTAAGGTAACGTATTGATATAGGGACGACATAGAATACTAATGAAAATGGATAGTAATTGATTTGATTAAAAAATAGGTTTTGCAATGACTATAACTTAACAATGCAATATTTGTATAGTTGTATAGTTGTATAATTATACAATTGTATTACTATATAAATATACTACTATACAATAATTGTATAATTGTATAAATCACATGATAACATATGCAAATCAGTTTTCCACACTATTGGATTCCTCTTTGGCGTATATCACATTTTTGAAACAACTTGATTGTATACTAATTCCGTATTAACACATCTGTAGAAAAATGTATAAATCCTATAAATAAATATAAATTGGAATTCAACCCGTAAATGAATAAACAAACTGATTTGCAATAGGAGTAGCTTTCTACTTAATTCAACTTTACATCAAATTCTCGATGAAAGCTCTCTGTTTCAGTACACGAATGTTTACTGTGAACGTTAACAATGAATTTATCTTCATTGTTAAATTGATAATAGTGGAGTTTATTGTACGAGGTTGAGTGATAGTCAGTCTTCGATACAACGACGTCTTCAATGACTATTATTGGATGTTTGGTTTGAGACCAGACACGTACACAAGTCGACGTATGGTTTCCAATAAATTGTTTAAGCGTCCTCTGCCAATGATGTGGTTCCCTGTTCGCACAGTCTGTGTACAGATAGTCTAACTTATGACTGGATAACAATTCCCAGTTAGACACTTATTAATGGCTCATGTCACCTTGACATATTCCCAAAATGACATTCCGTAAGTCAAGATCATAGATTAAATTTTCCAATTTTCCTACTATGCTGTTGCTCACTAAGCCATAAATTTATATTTGTCTATGGGGTGTACGACGTCTGGAAAAGAAAAGTTTGAAAGTGAATCACATCAGACCACTTAGTTCACGTAACTTCTTCTACTGATATGCT